ATTTTTGAATTTTTAATATTTTTAAAATTATTTTATAGTCTACGTTTGTATTGGTTGCTAGGCAACCAATAGACACGCATCAAAGGCAAAGCAACATGACGTCAAACGTGACGTTTTCATGGACTTCAAATCGGGTATAAGTACTCAGACGATAAGAGTGCTATCAGAAGCAAGGTCGAGGGCTACCTGATAGACACTTATCAACTTGTTCAGAGAGGAACAATCTGTCAGTCAGCTAAATAACCCATCAAGACTTCCTTTGTAAAGAAAACATCCTTTAACATGGCTGTGGATCTTGGGATTACTAAAGGAAGCACACTAGGAAAATGCCACGTGGTGGAGGACATCCTCGGAGAAGGCGGCTTTGGTGTTGTCGCCAAATGCCGCAATACAGAGACCAACAAGGCAGTAGCGGTCAAAGTCAATAAGAATGAGAAAGATGTTTTGGAACAGGCAGTGGATGAAATTGCCATCCTAAAACGGCTGCGGTGTCTCGAGCCAGACACCTGCAACATTGTCCAGTGGGATGGCATTTTTTTACACAAGGAGAGTATATGCATCACCTTTGAACTCCTTGATCAAAGCCTGCACCATTACCTGCAGGAGCAAAACACCTGGGGTCTCACCATGGGAGAGCTGAAGCCTATTTTGCAGCAGCTGGCGACTGCTCTGGCTCATCTTCACTCCATTGAGATCGTACATGCTGATATAAAACCATTAAATGTCATGGTTGTGGACCGCCATCAGCAGCCAGTTAAAATCAAACTTATTGACTTTGGCCTGGCGCGTCCAGTGGCAGACATCAAACAAGGTCAGCTCTTTGGGACTCACTGGTACAGGGCACCAGAAATGTCCCTTGGAATACCATTTAGGGAACCTTTGGATGTGTGGGCTCTGGGGCTTGTAATGGCTGAGCTGGTATTGGGGTGTGCACTGTACCCAGGAAAAACGGACTATGATGTACTCAAGTTCATTGTAGAAACTCAAGGCCAGCCACCGGACGACGTCCTGGACCGTGGACAGTGCACTCAGAATTATTTCTGTAAACAGAACTACGGAACACCACGCTGGAGATTTAAGTCTCCAGAAGACATGTATTATGAGTATGGATTCTATGCATCAGAGTCTAGGACTGTCAAACTCAAGTCTCTTGATGAACTTGAGGAATACATGGAGCCAGACGTGGAACTTCAAAGGGATCGGAAGATGCTGGTCAATTTAATCAAAAGCATGCTGAACCTAGATGCAAGTAAGAGGATTACAGCTCAAGAGGTTTTGGAGCATCCATTCTTTGCTTCAAGCCTCCCTGAGAACTCCTCAGAAAACGCTGGTGAAGCATTAGCTTACACGAAAGACTATGTAAGAAATTCAACTGCCTCCCAAAGTCTTTCTCAGTCCTCATCTCCCG